TTTTGGAGTAACTAATGAAGAAGGTAGAGCTATTTTAGATTTTACTTTAGCGTATGATTTTGTTATTACTAATACTTTATTCAAGAAAAAAGATGAGCATCTTATTACTTATAAGAGTGGATGTAATAAAACACGAATTGATTTTTTTTTTATGAGAAGAAGAGATTGTCGCGATTGTAAGGTCATTCCAAGTGAAAATTTAAGTGCCCAACATCGTTTATTAGTTCTAGATTTTAAGATTAAGAGTTGTAAAATAAAGATTGCTAGAACTCATCATCGTAGAATTAGATTGAGAAACTTAAAAGACAAATAAAATTATTTTTATGTATAAAATTCAAGATTTCAAAATTTGGGATATTCATGAAGAAGCAAATATTATGTAGGATTAAGTAACATACACTATTAAACAAGTAGCAATGAACATGTCAGTAGAGTGGTAGAAGATTTCAAAAATATTCATGTCAGCTACGGTTTTAGAGTGATTAATAAAGAATGTAGAGTTATATTAGATTTAGCTTTTGAGTTTAATTTTGTTATTACTAATGTTTTTATTCAAGAAAAGAGATGAGCATCTTATTACTTATAAGAATGGATATAATAAAACACAAATTGAATATTTTCTTATGAGAAGAAGATATCGTTGAGATTATAAAGATTGTAAGATCATTCTAAGTTTATGAAAAAAATACAATCGACATAAGTTATGAAAATATTCAACATAGGTGGGTGAGTCGTTCTGATAAACTTTTTAATAAATTTTATGAAAAAACAATCGACCATAGTGATCTTAATATCATTTAATAATAATATAACATTTCATTTTTACCATCGCATTAGTAAAAAAGAAGTTGAGGAAACTTTAAAGAAAACTAAGGGTGGAATGTCTGTAGGACCTGATGATATCCCAATTGAAGTGTGGAACTATTTAGGAGATTTAGGAGTTTCTTGGCTTATCAAACTCCTTAATAGTATTTTAAAAACTAAAAAAAATGCATAAGGAGTGGAGGAATAGTATTTTGGCCCCCATTTTTAAGAATAAAGAGGATGCAGAAGAGTGTGCAAATTATAGAGGATTTAAGTTGATGTGACATACTTTAAAGTTATGGGAAAGGGTAATTGACTATAGGTTAAAACGTATTACAAATCTACTATGGAAGCTATACATTTATTAAGAGGTTTGATGGAGAAGTTCAAAGATAATGAAAAGGATTTACATATGATTTTTATTGATTTAGAAATAGTTTACAATAAGGTTCCAAGTGATATCCTTTAGAGAGTTCTTGAGAAGAAAAGAGTTGATATGACTCATATTCAAGTCATTAAAGATATGTATACAAGAGTTGTTACTTGTAATCGAACCAAAGGATGATTTACCAAATATTTTCCTATTTCTATTGATTTACATCACGGATCGGCTTTAAGCCCATATCTTTTTGCTTTAGTTATGGATGGTCTTACTGGACACTTACAGGAAGATGTACCTTGGTGTATGCTTTTTGCTGATGATATCCTTCTCGCAGATAAGATGAGAGAAAAAGCTCAGAAAAAAGTTGAAATATGGAGGTCTACCTTGGCATCTAAAGGCCTTCATTTGAGTAGAACTAAAACTGAATACATGGAATGTAATTTTAGTAGTAGTAGCAGCTCTAGTGACAGAAGTGTAAATTCGGGTGATCAAATTATTAAAACTTGTGATCGATTTAGGTATTCGGGTTTATTGTTCAAAGCGATGGTGGTATAGATGGGGGTGTTAATAATAGAATTCAAGTTGGTGGTTGAAGTGGAGGAATGCTTTGGGCTTATTGTGTGATAGAAAAGTGTCGCTTGGACTAAAAGGAAAATTTTATAAGATGGTGGTGAGACCTGCAATGCTCTATGGCTTTGAATGTTGGCCTTTAAAAGAGAAGCATAA